CTCTCTAAGCTACCGCGACATGAATGTGACTCAGGTATACCTCATTCCTTAGCTCATTATGTAACGTTTGATTATTTGTCACAGAGTCACTGGTGTTTTGTTGGAGCTATTACTTCGGATGTGGAACTGAAGTCCTACGCAGAGGCAGTTCAGAATGAACGATGGCGTGAAGCAACGGCCAAGGAAATTGAAGCACTTGAGGCCAACCAAACCTAGACACTCGAGGTACTACCTAAAGGAAAGAAGCTAATTGACTGTCGTTGGGTTTACAAAGTCAAGCGCAAAGCGGACATGACCGTGGAATGGTACAAAACGAGACTTGTTGCCAAGGGATTCATGCAAGTAGAAGGACGCGATTTCCATGAGACGTTCGCCCCAGTTGCAAAGCTTGTTTTAGTTTGAGTTTTTCTTCTAGTGGTAATGGCGTGAGGATGGGAACTACACCAAATGGATGTGAATAATGCCTTCCTACATGGAGATGTCGATGAGGAAGTATACATGAAGCTACCTCAAGGCTTTCGAATTGATTGTGGAGATCGCATTTGTTGTCTTCGTAAATCCATTTACGGACTACGCCAAGCTTCACAAAATTGGTTCAACAAATTGACCGGAGCACTCAAGCGGTATGACTTTTCTCAATCCTTGGCAGATTATTCTTTATTTACTTATCGTCGACATGGTGTGTTTATGGGCCTTCTTGTGTATGTTGAGGATATTATATTGGTCGAGAATAACCATGATGAATGTGCGGCTTTCAAACGCTACTTACGTGAGTGCTTTCGTATCAAGGATTTGGGTTCTTTAAATTTTTTCCTTGGCATTGAAGTTGCTAGGTCGCAGATTGGCATTTCCTTGTGTCAAAAAAAGTATGTCTTGGATATTCTTGCCGAGACTGGCTTACTTGTAAGTAATCCGACTGAGACACCTACGGAGTCGGGCCACAAGCTTGCTTTGGTCGAGGGGGAGGAGACAGATGGTGCAACCTATCGATGACTTGTCGGTCGTTTAATCTATTTAACCATCACACGTCCAGAGATTTCATACTCAGTTTATGTTCTTTCCCAGTTTGCTCAAGCGCCTCGCAAAGAACACTTTGCGACAACAATGTGAGTTGTGAGATACATCAAGGGAAGTCCAGGCCAAGGGATTCTACTACTATCTAATTGTGATATGAGATTGCGAGCCTATTGCGACTCAGATTGGGCGAGCTGTCCAATTACTTATCGCTCAGTTAGTGGCTACTTCATCACAATCGGGGAGTCACCCATTTTATGGAAAACAAAGAAGCAGAGCATCGTATCGAGATCATTGGC